AACAACATGAAACACAAGGAGACTCAAGGAAACTCAAGGAGACCCTCTGGGGTAGGTTAGGTTGAAAGTGAGTGACTGGTCAAGATGTCCAAGTCAGAATTTGAACCCTGGCCTCCCAGGTCCTAATCTGACACTCTATCTAACCACTATCCCACACTGGCTCTCTAGACAAGCATGTCACTCCCTTCCACCTTGGAATCAAGACTTCTTATTTGTCTTGCTTACAGCCATACTGCAAATGGCTTGTTTGCCTTGCGTCGCACAAATGCATTCATCTTCTGATGCCTCATGGCAGAGAATATGTGTCTGATCCGTTTCTTCAACGGTGATCATGCTTTACTTGCCTGCCCTATTCAGCACCGGTGCAATGTAAATGAAATCAGTGTTTCTTCCCCATCTGTCTTCGGGAGCGGCGTCCTCTAAATGCATTCAGAAACAGCTTCGACAACGATTTGACACAATCTCTCTGCGAGCGCCATTCAGGCAATTGTGCTTTCGAGATGCTCCACGGTAGAGTTTCTTCAAGCTGCATAGAATGGAATTCCCTTGTGTGTGCGTTCGCTCAGGAGCTGGAAAAGGAACAAAATAATGTGGTCCAGTTGCACAATAACATCACTTCTTCACACACACATACACACACTTGGCCCAGACAGGCCTATATGATGCCTCTCAATCATGGCTCAATTTAAAGTCAGTTTAAAATACAATTGCCAATAATAATAAAAAAATATGATTGGTTTTGTTTATAAATCACTTCCCAGGAAGAATCTGAAAGCAATTTCACATTATTATTATTATTATTATTATACCACTCCTTGTGCGAAGGATAGCTTAGTTGTAGAGTATGAGACTCTTAATCTCAGGGTCATAGTTTTGAGCCCCAAGTTTGGACAAAATGATTCCTGCATTGCAAGAGAGAGACTGGGATAGTTTTTTGTTTTGCTTTAAATAATTTTATAAGCTGTGTGTCTTTGTTTCTTAAATTAATCCTTTTACCTTGTTTTGTATGAATTATTTTATGTATTGTGATTTGCTGTTATTTTTATGGATTATAGATTAGTGATTCTTTATTGTAATATGTGTAAACTGTCTAATTATTACTTGCCGATGTTTAATTTTAGTGTTTAGTATTGGATTCTAATGCATATTGCTTTATTTGGTATAAGTTGTTTATTTTAAAGTTGTTGTGACTTTTTATATAGGATCTGATTATTACTATTAAAGTTGATGTTTTATTATTAATTTTGTGTGTGTTGGAAGCCGCCCAGAGTGGCTGGGGCAGCTCAGCCAGATGGGTGGGATATAATAATAATAATAATAATAATAATAATAATAATAATAGATAAATATTGGATGTGGTGAATTCTGTGCCATGTTGCAGCTTTAGCCTAATATCAACCCAGTGCTTATGTAAGTTTGGAGGTCAAGGGGCCTTAAGAATTTACTATCTCTGGTTAATTAGTGGCAGAAAAGCAATGTCCTGTTATCTGCTAGTGATGCTTGTTGATCTTCTTGTTTATCTTGTGTAGCAAGAACGACTTCAGTTGGACCGGCTGAAGAACCAGCTCTCTGATGCCATTCAGCGATATGGAACGGTGCAAAAGGTGATTATGAGCCTCTATCTAGGGGGGGGGGGGAGCTGTGTTGGAATGGGTAGGAGTCCCTTTCTAGAAGGTTTCTGAGTGATCACAAGATGATAACTTTACTTGGAGGGTTAAGAAGAAGGAAATGTGCAGAAAAGTCAGGACCAGAAACTGTTAGTTCCCTGCGCTGGGAACCCTGCTGGATAGAATGTGCTTGAGGCCTTATCAAAGGCTCAGGTCATTAAACACATTGGAGGCAATTTCAGAGGCTCAGCTCGGAGGAAGATGAGGCCCTATCGGCTTGGCCAGAGTTCCGACAGAAACAAGCAGAGTGGTCTAAGAGTAGCCAAGAGGAGGCTTCCGAGGTAGCATATTGGAGGCCGACAGTTCAGAGGGAGGTAAAAAGGTAAAGGTAAAGGGACCCCTGACCATTGGGTCCAGTCGTGGCCAACTCTGGGGTTGCGGTGCTCATCTCGCTTTATTGGCCGAGGGAGCCGGCGTACAGCTTCTGCGTCATGTGGCCAGCTTGACTAAGCTGCTTCTGGCGAATCAGAGCAGCGCATGGAGACACCGTTCACCTTCCCGCCAGAGCGGTACCTATTTATCTACTTGCACTTTGACGTGCTTTCGAACTGCTAGGTTGGCAGGAGCAAGGACCGAGCAATGGGAGTTCACCCCGTCACAGGGATTCGCAGTGCAAAGAAATGGCCAGGGATTTCAAATCTTCCTAAGCCAGGAACTTAGCCTAAAAGAACCTCCCAACTTGGAAGCAAGTTGCTGAGACTGAAAGGCGAACTCCAAGGCTAAGGCTTTGCATAGGCAGGTAGAGAGCTGCACTGATTATCTGGCCTGCTTCATGTCACACTAAACCGTGGATTCACACCATTGCATGGGCTGCTGGAGAGGAGGTCCTGGGTAGGTTTCAGCACATAGTCAACTTGCCAAGCCAAGCTGGCGTTTAGCTGAATGAAGCAGAGTGGCAAAACAAGATGGCCGGAGGGAGCGAAGCTGGTAAAATATCCATTTCTGGAGCCTGCATAATCTTGAGGAGCACTCTGGCAATGAGGATCTTTTGTACATCTCCCAACTTTGGTCCCCTTTCTTAGCTCTTCATTTCCACCACCTAACTCATCTCTGGCAACTACCTATGGATCCACCTCAACAGAGTGTTGGTCACTTTCCATTCTGCACGAACCTGTATATTACAGTAGTTCCTATTCCAATTCTTGCCAGAATTCTCCTTATTCGTTTAGGGTTGGGTCCAAGAGTGCCATTCTGCTTGCACAGAAGTCAGCAGAGATCCTCTCCCTCCTCTCCTCTTCCTTTCCCCCACAAAATATCCTCCAGAGGGTTGAGGAACACTCCAGAGCAGTTCATGGAGTTCAGGGAGAGAAGAAGGGGACACCCCATTGCATGAGTTGAACCCTAAGTGTACACCATTGGACACAGCCATGATTGTTTACCCAATTATCACACTATTCCTCCAATGAGCTCAAGGTGGTGTACATGATTCCCCCCTTCCTCTTTTATCATTACAACATCTCAGTGAGGTAGGCTAGGCTGAGATGATGGCTGGCTCAAGGTCAGTGGTTCTCACCTGTTGAGGCTTGAGCTGTTTTATTCCCTTCCTGATCATAAATCTGGATTGGCGTATCTGGAGAGAATGCATTCAATGACACCAGTCGTTGGTGTCATTGAATACATTCTGCAATTCCCGTTCCTCTCATTCAGCCATGCATGTTCCATCAGAACCTACACAGGCGGTTTTCCACCTATATATTTATTTTTAATAAATTACAATGTGCCAAAATTATCCATTGCATATTCCCCCTCCCTGAGTGGCCTGGTTGTGTCAGGGAGCTGTTGTTGAGTGGCAAATTGCTATTTCACCACACTTGGGGCTGTCACTTTTTAAATGCATGCTTTGCTTTTGATAACCCTGTCGCCCTTGAAGTTAAAATTACTTCTGATTTCTCAAAAGGCCTACCCTTTCAAAGCACCCCCCCTTTCCTAAATTATAGGGTTAGCTCATCCCCCAATATTCCTCTCTGTGTGTGTGTGTGTGTGTGTGTGTGTGTGCACGCGCGCGCGGGCGTACACACACACACAAGTTTCTAATGCAATTCAGTTCTGACCACTAATTCTGTTATTGTATTTCCAGAAAATCGCCGAGAAGTCAAAAGCCCTGCTTCCCAAGGGACAGAGTAGTAGGAAGCAGGTAAGCACAGTATTTGTTCAATGCATTTTGAGCCGATATGCCAACCTCTAATTTTCTTCTTGGTATCACGCACCAAATGTTTAGCAAGGTGCAAAACATCTCGTTGGAATCCCTCCCTTATCCTGCATTGCAAGGACTTCCAGATTTTTTTATCCCTCTCTGTATCATCTTGACCTGCAAACTAATGGAAGTGTTCCTCCATGATTATTTGAACCATGGAACCTGGTGGATGGTCCACCTAGGTCCTCATCCAGAAGAGACTGGGGTGTAGGTCAAATTGTTGGAGCCCACCAGCTTGGAGAAGATGGTTTAGGGCTCTTGCGTGGCATTTTCAGTCATTCTGGGTCAGCTCTGTGGGTGAAGCTGATCCCAGAGGTCTCTGTAGTTATAACTATGAAGTCTTTTAATTTGAAACACATAGAATAGCTGCAAACTTCAATAAGATGTGGCAATGATACCACTTTAGGCAGCTTTAACTCAGGCAGTGTAAGGCTCATACTCACCAACATTTCTCAGATGAATATAGGGACATTTCACACACCCACAACTGATCCTCCTTGACCCCCCCCCCCATTTTTGGTGTCTCCCATAAAAGGAATTCCTATCAGAAGAAGGGGGAGTGCTATCACCAATGCACCAATAGGGCACAGCAAACACACCCTCCACCACCCTGAGAAAATACCAGTTTTATTTTATGTTATTCTTTGGTAGATTTACAAAAAGAAAACACACACAGCAATCAATTTTGGAAAGGGACAATATTAGACATGGATGCAAAAAGCTGCTATTACTACTACTACTACTACTACTACTACTACTTTGGGCAGCTTCCAACAAATATAAAAGCATAAGAAAGCATCAAACATTAAAAACTACCCTATACAGGGCTGCCTTCAGATGTCTTCTAAAAGTTGTATAGTTCTTTATTTCCTTGACATCTGAAGGGAGGGCATTCCAAAGGGTGGGTTCCACCACTGAGAAGGCCCTCTGCCTGGTTCCCTATAACTTGGCTTCTCACAGTGAGGGAACCGCCAGAAGGCCCTCAGCGCTGGACGCCAGTGTCCGGGCAGAACGATGGGGATGGAGACGCTCCTTCAGGTATACTGGGCCAAGGCCATTTAGGGCTTTAAAGTTCAGCACCAACACTTTGAATTGTGCTCGGAAACGTACTGGGAGCCAATGCAGATCTCTCAGAACTGGTGTTATGTGGTCCCGGCGGCCGCTCCCAGTTACCAGTCTCACTGCCACATTTTGTATTAGTTGTAGTTTCTGAGTCACCTTCGAAGATAGCCCCACATAGAGTGTGTTGCAATAGTCTAAGCAGGAGATGATAAATTTAGTACTTACAGTTAACATAATATAGGGTGAGAATGTTTGGGCCGAGCACGGTTGAATGACATAACCTCCTGCAACATGAAGTAGATACAGCGTGTTCTGGATAGGATAGGAATTGTAGCCCAAAAACAGACCCATAGAATAGAATAGAATAGAATAGAATAGAATTTATTATTTATACCTCGCCCAACTGGCTGGGTTTCCCCAGCCACTCTGGGTGACTTTGAACAAAGCATTAAAATACAGTAGTCTGTTAAACATTAAAAGCTTCCCTAAAGAGGGCTACTTCAGATGTCTTCTAAAAATCTGGTAGTTGTTGTTCTCTTTTACATCTGGTGGGAGGGCGTTCCACAGGGCGGGTGCCACTACCAAGAAGGCCCTCTGCCTGGTTCCCTGTAACTTGGCTTCTCGCAGCAAGGGAACTGCCAGAAGGCCCTCAGCGCTGGACCTCAGGGCAGAACGATGGGGGTGGAGACGCTCCTTCAGGTATACAGGACTGAGGCCGTTTAGGGCTTTAAAGGTTAGCACCAACTCTTTGAATTGTGCTTGGAAACGTACCAGGAGCCAATGTAGATCCTTACATCCTCTGTTGCCCCTGTTAAAGGTAGCAGTGCTTCTGACCACCAGTTGCTGGAAATCACAGAAGGGGAGAGCCCTCTTGTGCTTGGATCCTGCTTGTGGCGTTCCAGTTGAAAGAAAAAAAAAACAAATACAAGTGGGTTCTTTTCTGTTGAGACTTTCAAAAAAGGATTCCATC